GCTAAGTGACACATCATCTCGCAAAATGGTAATACAATTCTACTACTAATAATAATGTTGTAATTTGTAAAGTATTTTTTACAAGATGGATGGTTAGTTTTGTGACATCTATTGGTATCATTTGTTGAAAGGATAATCATCTCTAATAAATGAAGGTTTATTTACCACATGTTTTTTTTTCATTTTGCCACATGGCTTTTTTTTAGTTTTTTTATTTTCTTATTTTTCATTTGTCATTTTTTGAGGTTTTTCATTCTTACATTAAATTTTCAGAATTTATGGTTATATATGTGGAAGGTTCTCATTCTATTCATTTAAGGTTATCATTTTATTAATTTGAAAATAAATTCACATAAATGTTACAAACTCATTGATTTACTTTCTTTTTTCAACTACTTTATAAAATGTTTAATGTTATATACTGATATTAAACTTTTTATTTTTAATAAACCCGTATAATATACGGGTCTCACACCTAGTTACTATTTAATCATTTTTGTGGTTTAAGAACAGTCGCCTCATCGCTTTATTGTTTTGGACAACTTAATCAATTATTCAAATATCATCATCTATAAACGGTATGCCTTAATATTGGCTTTCGATCCTAGCCAATATTGGATAAAAAATAATTGTTGTCCAAATCATTAGTTATAAACAGATTGTTTCGTATTTGGTATTTCTATTTATCCAAGACATGGACAAAAGCTTAACATCAACGAAATTGAATTGGTCAACAAAGTAAATAGGTGTGTGTGCCCTAGCAACAGCCAATGTCTTAAACAAAGTTAAAGATGGTTCTTTTTCATCAAGTTTTAGCAAATTACTTAAATAGTCCTTTTGGTACGTATGGTTCCTTTACATCAAATGTTGTGGATACGCATTAGAATCCAAATGTCATGCATAATAATATTATGATATCAAAATCTATGAATATAGTTTTTAAAATAATTAGTTTTACAGCAAAACACAAGCAACAGAACTAAGGAAGCAAAACCAAATTTTAAAACAAAGCCTTATAAACAAGATCTAAACAAGATAATAATTATAAAGTATTTTTACATTGTTGATAAAACAAGAACTCGTAATCAAACAATTGATTATTTATAGTCTACGATAACAAAATTAACAAACAATTAACATATAACTAAATAAAATATCACTCAACAAGTATACTTTTACAAACTACTACTTATTTGAAAAAAAATACAAATCTTTATTAGGTGAAAAAATTCTTCTAATTTCTACTTCACACACGAGATAACTTGGAATGACAACTAATAACTTAGAATTTACTATTTAGGTCATTAAACTTTTAATTGTATCCAATAAACAAACAAATATACTATGTATATGTAGAATTTAATATATATATATATATATATATATATATATATATATATATATTGATTTTAAAAATTTAAGCGATTGCAATTTTTATCGGTTAAAATGATAAAAAAAACATTATCATTATTTTTTCCACGTCTAACTAATAGATTATTATAGTTAATTTTCTCAAACCACAACTTCAACTACAAAGATATTTACCGATTAAAATGACAATGTCACAACACAATATGGAGTTGCTAATGGTTATTGGTTTTGAGAAAAATGATTACAATAGACTTTTAGTTAGATGTGGGAAATGAAATAATCATGTTTATTGTCATTTTAATTGATAAAAATCGTAATCACTGGTATTTTATAACCAAAATAAAAAGTTTTGATTTTCTTATTGGATACAGTTAAAAATTTTGTGACCTAATAAACAAGTTTTATGTTATTGGTTGTCATTTTTTTTTTATACTACACAAAATAGTAAAGTTAAAATAGTTTAATACAAAGATTTGTTACGACAAATTTTTATACTTTGTTTTGTCTTTTTTTTTTTTTGTATCAAGTAAATAAAACTTGTAGAAATATAAGTTTTTCTTATTGTTTTATATAAATTATAATTTTGAAATAAATATTAGAAAGAAGAAAACAAACCGCATCAAAGTTTATTGAAAATAGTTAAATAGATCGTCTCAAGTGAATGGGCTCTAACTTTTATTAAATGAATTGGGCCAGTTTTGCTTGGGTTATGTAGTTAACTTAAGACTTGAGCCTTGAGGAGTCAAGAGTTAAGAGTTCTATGTCGTAAGTCGTAACATGTTTTTTAGTTTATTTTTCTATACGGTGTTCGTGATTTTTGAGGGGATTAAAGGTGAACTTTGAGTATGAATATTTGATTATTATAAATTTATGTCGCAAATAATTGATTTTTTAGTTTTAGTGATTATTTTTGTGATTAGTATGAAATATCATATATCGATTCTCATAAATTGACTAGTTATATCCTTCTTTTCAACACTATGTCAAGTTGTCTACTAATTAAAACTAATACTTTTTTTTAGACTACAAAAAAAAAAAAAAAAAAAATCATGTTTTTTGTTAAAAAAAGTGCATGCCTTGAAATACTAAATTGTGCATACCATGATTTTTTTTTAATAGTGATTAATACCCTGAAATCTTTTTGGTAAAACAGTGTATACCATTTAATCTTCTTTTTAAACAGTGCATTGCATGACGGATTTTTTGGCTCATGCCCTAGAATCTTTTTGGTAAAATACTAGGGGTGTGCATATCAATATAGTGATATACCATGAAATCTTTATGTTAAAAGAGCACATAAACTGGAATCTTTTTAACAAAACGATATCACCGAATATTTTAGACTACAAAAAAATCATGTTATCCAGACAAAAGCATATCTGTAGTCATTTTTAGACTACAAAAGTTTGACTCAAGACTTTGTGGGCTGTGGCTTCAATCATAATACTTCTAAGTTCAAGAATAATCTAATTTCATATGTTTGTTGGTATCATAAACCATCTCGTGAACTCTCTAAATAATACGATGACACAAGAATATTCAATTTCATTACAATCTTGACACTTTCAAAATTTGCCGGCCTATTGATTAGTTAAACTAAAAAAGATTCATTTTGTGATATTTAAAAGTAAATTAATGTAATTACTCCCGTCTTCTTAGGGTAGTTGAAGACTATGACTTCCATTAGCTACCTCGACCATATACAGACAATCACTTAGGGACAAAAACCGATAGGTTTCTTTTTTACTTGACTAATATTGGCTGAAACTTGTTTTTTAACATATTATACACATTTTGTACGTTTAAGAAAATAATATAACACAAGTAAAATCTCTCATCCTAATATTACTCATATCTATCTTATCTGTGGAAAGTACAATCCTTTTTAATAAATGAAGTTATTTTTGTCACATGTCATCTTATCCTTCATTTTGACATTTGTCATTTTGTGAGAATTTTAGAAATTTTATTTTTCACTTGTCATTTTTTAGGGATTTCCATTTTCTTAAAATAAAATTCATAAAATTGTAATGGGTTCTATAAGGAAATAAAATCATCTATTAATTTGGCAATAAATTCTCATAAATACTTTAAACGATTTAATTTCTTTTGCAAATTTTTAAAAGATTACATTCTGTTATGTAAAGTATTACATTATAAAATATTTTATATTTATATATTGATATTAGATTTTTATTTTTAATAAACTCGTGTAATACACGGGTCTCGCATCTAGTATCTATATAATAACATTCTAGGACTAGATAATTACAAGAATAAATACAACAATAAGATAAGATTTGAGTAATACTAATCTTAGTATGAATATATTTTAGGTATTCTGAAAATTCTTAACGGTTATTTAAATATAAAGAAAATTTAATACTATTATCCACAAGAAGTATAGTTTACAACATGTAAGAAATCATAAACAACAAAACCTTACGCATTTCCGGAAGAAGCATAGAAACACTTGGGTTATAATATGTTCATCAATTAGTAGTCTAATAGGAACTGATTGGCATGTTTTGGAATTTTTTCTTTGTCACGTTTTAGTGTTGTTATTATTTAATTTTATTTTGTAATAATGATTCATATGTTTCAAAATCCATCAAGAGAAGGTATATCACAAACTTTGAATCGGTCAATAGAAACGATATAGAATAAAGATGAATAACAAGAATCCAAGACTATGTGACAATTATGGATCATTTTCACACACTTTTCCTCGATGTTCTAACTTTTTAAGCAATTTACTTTGGGATTTTCTCTCCTTTCTTCAATGTTGTGTAAGCTTTTTCCTGGTGTATGTGAGGATGACAAACCAAGTTTTTGTTTGGCCATAGGTTGGTCCAAAGAACTTATTAAGAAGAATATATGAGTGGTTCGTACACAATATCCCTTTTCTTTGTCTAGGACTCTACCAATTGATATTTTCCAAAACTAATTCAAAATAAGTTTCTTTAATTTCTATCTTCAGTTTTTGAATACATAAAGAGTTTTCTGCAAATATTGATCAATGAACCTATAAAATCTTTCCAAATGTATCTTACAATCTACGACTATTTTTTACAAAACTAGTTTAATATTGTTGACATATGTTCATGTTCCAAATGTCTTATCAATTAGTAACCATCAATGCATTTTGCACTCAATAAAAAATACAAAACAACTAAGGTACAAGTTTTAAAACACATGGTACAAGAGAAAATAAGAAAGAGAAAGTAGAGAGAGATAATGAAGTGGGTTAGTGAAACCAATCAATTCACTCGTTGAAGCGGGAGTGGTACCCGCCGCTAACTCTATTGCTAATTAAGATTTTACATTTGATTGTTTTGTATTTTTTTTTAATTGAGTGGGTTGAGTGAGTTCAAAAAGATAAAGTTTCCGTATGTTGTGGGTTCGGAAAGATGAAGAAAAATAAAAGAGAAAAAATGATGTGACAGTGGGTTCAGTGGGGTTGGGAGGGAATGACTCCCTCCTCCCTGTTTCTTATCATGTCGTTTTCAAAAGATATTTTAATTATTTGTTAAGCCATAAACTGTATTAAATTAAAATACAACTTTTTAAATCAATCCCAACACACAATAACTCCTTTTTCAACTATTTATAAAGAATCCATGTAGCCAATGAATAAGCCATTGGAGAAAAAAAGTTTCATGGAATTCCTCAAAGCTCATAGCCTTCTCATTCTTGTGGTTTTAAGCCTCACCATGTCTAGTATCACAACTGTCACAAACTCTATGTCTTCTTCTCATAACCCAAACAAGGGAGCATACTGGCCTTCATGGGCCAAAAACTTTCCACCATCATCAATCGACACCAATCTTTTCACTCACGTCTATTATGCTTTTCTTTCTCCAAGTAACACCACATTCAAGTTCGAAACAGATGATCCAACTGCTTTGTTGCTCAAAAACTTCACCACCACCCTTCACACTAAAAACCCTAATCTCAAAACCTTGTTCTCCATTGGAGGTGCCTCAGAAGGCTCGCTAATCTTTTCACGCATGGCTTCAAGTCATAAATCAAGAAAAACTTTCATCCTTTCCACTATAGAAGTCGCACGAAAGTTTGACTTTGATGGGGTTGACTTAGACTGGGAGTTCCCAAAAACACCAAAAGACATGAAGAACTTTCGTCACTTGCTTCATGAATGGCGTGTTGCAGTCAAGAAAGAAGCTAAAGCAAATGATACGCCTCAACTTCTTCTTTCTGCAGCTACTTACTACTCCCCAGAAGTTAACTTAGATAATATACATCGTAAGTATCCAGTGGATTCTATAAACGAAAATTTAGACTGGATAAATGCAATGTGTTATGATTATCGTGGTTCATGGGATCTCTCTGCAACCGGGTCTCCAGCCTTGTTATATGATTCGAATAGTAATGTGAGCACAAGTTACGGGTTACAAGCATGGATCGAAGCTAAGATTCAAAGAGAAAAGTTGGTGATGGGGTTGCCACTCTATGGTCGAACATGGCAGCTAAAGGATCCAACTTTATATGGTATCGGAGCTCCGGCTGTGGATGTGGGACCAGGGGATGAAGGTCAAATGCCTTATGTAGAGGTGGAAAAGTTCAATGCTCAAAACAGTGCAAAAGTGGTGTTTGACTTGTCAACGGTGTCGACTTATTCTGTTGCAGGGACTTCTTGGATTGGTTATGATGATGTTAGATCAGTGGCATTAAAGGTTGCTTATGCTCGAACACAAAAATTGGGTGGATATTTCTTTTGGGCAGTTAATGGTGATCAAGATTGGAAAATCTCGACAGAAGGTATAAATTCAGTTTTTTTAATGTCGACTTAGTTATTCTCCATATCCAAAATAGATTTATTTATGAATGATGAAATGTTAATTGTGATGTTATTATTTGGAGTTTATGCAGCTTCAAGAACATGGAGTCTTTGAAGAACGATGGGAAGGGGTGTCAAATAGATGAGTGGAATGTGGATCATTGTATTTGTCTGATTATATATTAAATGTTGAAGTTTGTATTTTAATTATAACTAGAAAGGTTACCCCCGCTACGCGGGGGCCAGAAGCTTTCAATGTTGTTTCCGAATTGATAAATATGACAGACATAGAAAGTGCAAGGATGAAAAGTCCGGGCTTTGCCCCGGACCGTTTTTTTCATGTTTTTATGAAAAAATGTAAAAGTTTTGACTGCAAGAATTAAAGGGGTAGGAATTAGCAACTTTTTAAAACCGTTAAAGTTTTGTCGCCAAACTTTAAATATTAAAAGGTTCCAAAAAAGTGGAAAAATATTGATTGCAAGGACCAAAAGTGTCAAAATGGGTAAAGAATGAGGAGCAAAGTTGCCAAAAAAAATCCAAATTTAGTATTCCTAACTTTTAAGCCCAACAATAATACAGGGACCAATTCTGCCAAAAAAATGACAAGTTCACTATTCATTTTCTTTATAACTTTAATATATATATATATATATATATATATATATATATATATATATATATAATAAGTTGGAGGTGTCCATGTTTAACACAACATAAGTTGGAGGGCCAAATTAGTAAGTTGGAGGGCCAAATTAGACAAGAAAAAGGGTTGTTTACTGTTAAAATTTTTGATAACTTTAATATATATAATAATGACAAAAAAAAACCGTTATACATGAAGTTACATTAACAATTTGTATGTGTCTTTTGATAGTTTGAAGTCATTCATTTTCCTATAGTTGAAAAATATAGATATTACTACCAATTTTGTTAAAAATAAGTTACATATCATAATAGGACTTATATCTTGGATTTACATGCTTTGACCCTTTAAAACAAATGCCCTAAATCATTCCTAATAAATAAAGAACTTTTTGTCAAATGTCACGTTCTCATTGATTTGACAACATGTCATTTTGTGGTTATTTTCAATTAATTTTTTTCCACATGACATTTTGTGGTTTTTTTCATTTTATTAATTTCCACATAATATTTAAATGTAACAATTGCAATACATGTAATAATAAATGCATATCAATTTCATTAATTGACTTCCTTCTAATTTCAAATTTTCAAAATTAAAGTTTCATTAGTTTCCTTTATTTATTTATCTAAATTATTTGTTTAATTTAAAAAAATCAAACAATTTAATTTTAATAATTCAATATTTTTCTATTTTTTTCTTATAAATTCAAACTTCTCAAATGTTTAGAATTTCATATTTTTTTCTTTAAAATAAACTCATGTAATAAATGAGTCTTACCCCTAGTTTAATACAACAAAACAAAAAGAACACTGAAATAATGAGTTATTTTGAAGATCACGATTACATATTTATATTTTTACAAACCAAAATTTGAAGGTCGTTTTTGCTTTTTGTTTACAACAAAAAAATAAACCGAACCAAACCATATCTTTATATAATGTCATTTTACATCGGGGATAAAGCGTACATAGTAAGTGTTGTAAATATTATAATTTTCACTTGGTCAAGGTTGATGAAATGTACAAGTGGTTGAGAGGCATTTGTCAATAACACCAATACAAGTCACAATACATGTGAAAGTGTATTTGTATATGAAATATGATTATTTTTGCAACAATGGTATTCAATAATTCTAAAAGTATAAAGAGTAAATTACACGAATGGTCCCTATGGTTTGGGGTAATTTGCGTGTTTGGTCTCTAACTTATTTTTTTAACTCGGAAAGTCTCTACTGTTTGTTTTTGTTACGCCATTGGTCCCTACTATTTGTTTTTGTTACGTGCTTGGTCCCTATCTTACCTAAAAAAACTATTATTTAAATAGGGAAAAATGGTGGGGGTAGGTAAGATAAGGTGAGGGGAATGAGGTTAGTGGTGTGTTTATTTAAATAAATTAAAAAATCAAGGGCAAAATAGGTGTTTTAGGTAAGACAGGGACCATGAGCGTAACAAAAACAAACAGTAGGGACCTTTCGAGTTAAAAAAATAAGTTAGAGACCAAACGCCCAAATTACCCTAAACCATAGGGACCATTCGTGTAATTTACTCAAGTATAAAATTATGGCTACATATATTTAAGTCGAGCCAATTTATTCCAGTGGCGGATCTAGGATCAAAGTAAAGGAGTATTCCAGGCTACCCCAAGATATATACTAGATCCGCCAATGATTTGTTATTTATACGTGAAGTCAAGTTGTGAACCAATGGCGGAGGTAGTATAGAAGAAATAGGGTGTATGGACCCATTCGCAAATGGGCCCCACCTGCTAATTTATGTAAAAAAATCTTATTTTTTTAAAAGTAGAAAATGATGTCCATACTAAGGGTGACAATTGTCTTGGTTAGGGTTGGCAAGTCATGAGCAGGGGTGGTAATTGATGACACGACATGATAAAAATACACGACACAAAATGAAATTAGGACGAAACTGAAATTCGAATTTGTGTTCGTGTCTAATGTAAAAAACACGATGTCGTGTCGTGTTGTGTTCGTGTTCAAAATTTGACACGAAATTGAAACGATTTAGCATTTGTTTGTCGTGTTTGGCGTGTTATGTATGATTAAATATTAATTAAATAAACTAATTTTTATATTATGTTATATTTGTCGTGTCGTGTCGTGTTTGTCGTTTTTTTTAATTGGTTCATTTCCGTGTTAGTTAAAAAAACACGACATCGTTTCGTGTAGTGTTCGTGTTACATAAAACTTTGTCATGCCGTCGTGTCAGACAAAAACGCGACACGATGACCCGATTTACCACCCCTAGTCATGAGTTTGTGGGTCATAAAGTTCAACCCGAACAAAACCCATTTAAATATTCATGTCGTTTTGCTCAAGAAACCAGTGGAACTCCACGACTTCCTAACTCTGGTGACTGCTACTGTAAGAAACTACCGTTGTCGGAGGGACCGTTGCTGTTAATTATAGAGTGGACACCTCTTGATTTTCGGTACAGATTCACCACTGGAACTGATGTGGTTTACTATATGAGATGATAACATGAAAGGAGAAAATAAAAAACAAAAAGATTATAAGTTGTAACTAGAAACGTACAAGACTACAAATAATTGTCCCCATGTAAATAGTGTTTTAGTAACAGTGAGGCAATATTTGTTTTTTTAATTGTTAAGGGTGATGGATCTTCATTGATGGCGATGTTACCTTCTGTGCAACCACACTAGCTGTTTGTTTTTTCTAGGGATGAGCAAAAGTGCAACCACACTAGGTGTTTGTTTTTTCTAGGGATGAGCAAAAGTGCAACCACACTAGGTGTTTGTTTTTTCTAGGGATGAGCAAAAGGACCGAACCGGCCGGAACCGGACCCGACCCGGGAACCGGCTTCGGCCAAAATTAAGAACCGAACCGGCCCGACGGTTCCTACCGGTTCCGGTTCTACCGGTTCCCGGTTCTTGTTGTGTCTTCAAATATTGGAACCGGTCCTCGAAAAATAGCATCATACGGTTCCGGTTTTTGCCGGAACCGGTCCTCGAAAAATAGCATCATACGGTTCCGGTTTTTGCCGGTTCTACCGGTTCCGGTTCCAAAAATCCACAAAAATAACGTCCCGGTCCCGGCCCGAACGGTTCCATCGGGTTTCGGTTCCGGTGCCGGTACCGGTTCCGGCCGGTTCCCCGGTCCATATGCTCATCCCTAGTTTTTTCCATTTTTTTGCCAAGTTATTTCTCTTCCTTCCTAAAAAGCTAAACACATGAAATGATTATTCATCTCATACCTCATATAAAATAAAAGAGAAATCTTCTCGGAAAGGGTTACTTCCCTAAGGCAATGAACCCCCATCCAATGTTTCCTAAGGTCCCTAGGGCTGTCTATCTAGTTTTAAACAGGCCAAGATTTTAACTGGGCTTGGGGCCTAACCCACCCAAAGCTGATACCTAGCTACATAAATCTGTTTATTTTTCTCAAAATGTGGTGGCTTTTCTTCAGTTTATTTATGTTTATAATTTATGGTTGGTTTTAAGGGATTTAAGTTATTAATCATAGGTGTATTTGACTTAGGGTTTTCGAATTGTTTATCGGCTAGGATTTATTGTTCATATGGCTATGTTTGCATCTATGCCTTTATATCACAGATCATTGAAGTATAATTTCGATTTTGTAGATGTTAATTGTAGGCCATTTTCGTTGTTTATGATATTAGTTGTAATTGTTTTATAATGATGAGTTCAATACTTAGAAATATTATGTTTCTGTGTATGTTGCGGCCTATTCTGATGCTTGCAAAATCATTCTTTCTCTACTTGTAAAAATAATAGCGACTCCTATGGATTACTTACTTTTGTATAACTTAGTGATTACAAATTTTAGCCATACTTTCTTCTCTGATCTTAATCCAAAATCTTTTTTTCCTAATGATGAACAAGGTGATGATCATATGGGTTTCCAAGATTCTTTTTTTTTTTTTCTACCTGCATGATTAAAATCTCTCTATATCAATAACTTGTTTTGATGATTTGTTGCAACTGTGATTATTAAGCTCATGTTTGTATATTATTTTCAGCCGTCACACAAGTCATTCATGATCAAGAAAAAGCTTGCAAAGAAGATGAGGCAAAACAGGCCCATTCCTCATTGGATTCGCATGAGGACAGACAACACCATCAGGTCAAAAAGACCCTTCTGCCCTTTTTGTTACATGACAGAACTAGTCGTCCTATGCATTAATGGAGCAAAAATGGCAACTAAGCTTTCAGTCTAATTTTTTTGTTTGTGCAAAAGACAAGAATGCCCCTCATATATCCTGTGATGCGTAACAATAGTATAAAGGTAATGATTATTGTTGTTGACTCCATTTTTATTTATTTTAGGTATAATGCTAAGCGTAGGCATTGGCGTAGAACCAAGCTTGGATTCTGAGGTGTTTGCTAAATCAAACCATGGAAGATTGTCATCAAAACAAGAGAAGTCAACATTGATTGAATTAAGAAGTTGTTTTTGTTTCTGGTTGTGTTTTAGCTTAAATGAGTGATTTTGTTCTTATTGTTGCTCATTTCTAGTATTGAAATATGGATTATTATGGTTTTATATAAAAGACTTGGAAAATTATGTGTCAGTTTTCATTTGTGCTTATGTTTTGCATTTGGTCTCCCATGAGCATTTATGGAGATAAAAGGACAATTGTTTGTCAAATTGAGAATGCA